TTCTGTTTGTTTTTCAGAGCAACTTCAAGAAGAATTGCGTAAGTTTAGCCTTTCCTGAACTAATCCATATACAATTTGAGTTCTGCTCAGTTAGCAACATCTCATGACATTCGCCTCTGTCTGTCCCTTGCAGGATGGAGAAGAACAGTCTTACATGCTGGTGAGTGCCTCTGATGTTCCCTTAGATCTCAGCTTTCTCCTGCCAGCCAGCTAACAGGACTCCTTAGAGGAGATGGGCAAGGGGACCAGGGCTAGGCAGGGACAGCAGGGAGCTGGGGTCAGTTCATCAACAGTGTCCCAGCAATGATGCATCATGGCTCTTCTGTGAGGGAATCCTGACATCTCTCAATCCACCTTATGGTTTACATCCCAGGATCCTTTCTCTTTTGGAATAATTTAATACATGATTACCAGAAGTGTCACATATATAGTAGAGTTACGTTTCAGTAGTTGTTGCTCTTTGATCCTGGATAAATTTGAAAATAGACATTGCTGTCTTAGCAGCTTATATCCTGGGGATAGTGTAGACTGTGCTAAGTTGCAGACCCATGTGGGGAAGAGGCCATGAGGGTCCCTAGTAAGCCTGACCTAAGGGTGTACCAGTATGTGGCCAGAAATGCCTTTCTGCTCCTAAGAGAACACTGATACTTTGTGTACAGACTGCCGGGGGAGGGGGTTCAGGTGAGTGGAAGAGCACAGAACCCAATTGCCCACTCTCAGTGAGCACTTTTCATCTTGTGATTCATCCCCTCTGCCCATAAGCACCACAGAATCCAGGCTTTACCAGATGCTATGGCACATGGACCTTTCCTCTTTAGGTGAATTTCAGAATTGCCACTGTCAATGTGGAATAAAATAGCAAATTGTCACAGCCGGACCTATTAACTTGGGGAATGGAGGAAATCATTTTAACACAATAGAAAGGTAGACTGAATAAGTAAGATTAAATACAGATGGGAGAGGCCTGCAGAATGCCCAGTATCCGGAGCATTTCTTATACCTACAGAAGTGATACCTGAAGACATCAGACCCACACTGTTGAAGCAAAACTGGATGGGAATAGTTCCTCCCCACATTTGCCTACAGATCTCTCAGGAAGCAGGTTTTCTTTTGGGGACATTTATTCTCCTTTATTTTTTGAAGGGTGCCCTTGTCAGTCATTTAAGTCAGTTGTGATCTGGTAAAAGGAACACATAGGACCAATGAAGAGACCCTTTACCCTCCGGGATATGTAAAGGGAAACACTCACCTTACCTGATCCACTGGGGAGAGGAGGAGCAGAACATAAAGCCTCTGTGCTGGTTTGAGCCAAGTTGGAAAGTTTCTAACTAAAGAAAATCCAGAGATCATAGGTCTTTGTTTTGGGTTGTTTTTTTTTTTCTCTCTCTCTCGAGATGATATCTCGCTCTGTCACCCAGGCTGGAGTGCCGAGGCACAATCTGGACTCACTGCAACCTCTGCCTCCTGGGTTCAAGCAATGCTTGTGCCTCAGCCTCCTGACTAGCTGGGATTAGAGGCGTGCACCACCATGCCGGGCTAATTTTTGTAATTTTAGTAGAGATGGGGTTTCACCATGTTGTCAGGCTGGTCCCGAACTCCTGACCTCAGGTGATCCACCCGCCTCGGCCTCCCAAAGTTCTGGGATTACAGGCGTGAGTCACCGTGCCCGGCCAGAGATCCTATGTCTTGAATAGAAAAGGGAACACATCTTAGAATGCTGAGAGAAAGTAAGAATGATTAATTTTGCCTCATTTGCTAAACTGTCTGGATTTCTTAGAGCTCCAATTCTTCTCAAACTGAGGGAACTGCTGGAGAGATAGAAGGGCAGCTTCAGTAATTCTCAGTGTGTGAGCTGCCTAGGATCAGAGAGCCTTCATGGAAGTGGCCACTACCTGGGGATCCCCCCACAGATATCTGAGACCTCTCTGGGGATCAGGAACCACACAATCCCCAGGGTTCCTGAGACCCTAGGCCTAAACCTGAAACTTCCTCTGCAGTCGATGTGGTCCTGGATCCAGACACTGCTCATCCTGATCTCTTGCTGTCAGAGGACCGGAGAAGTGTGCGAAGGTGCCCCCTCAGGCACCTAGGGGAGAGCGTGCCTGACAACCCAGAGAGATTCGACAGTGAGCCTTGTGTCCTGGGCCGGGAGAGCTTCGCTTCAGGGAAACATTACTGGGAGGTGGAGGTGGAAAACGTGATTGAGTGGACTGTAGGGGTCTGCAGAGACAGTGTTGAGAGGAAAGAGGAGGTCCTGCTGCTTCCTCAGAATGGCTTCTGGACCTTGGACATGCATAAAGGGCAATACCGGGCCCTGTCCTCACCTAAGAGGATTCTCCCTTTGAAGGAGTCCCTTTGCCGTGTGGGCGTCTTCCTGGACTATGAAGCAGGAGATGTCTCCTTCTACAACATGAGGGACAGATCGCACATCTACACATGTCCCCGTTCAGCCTTTTCCGTGCCTGTGAGGCCCTTCTTCAGGATAGGGTCTGATGACCGCCCCATCTTCATCTGTCCCGCACTCATAGGAGCCAGTGGGATCACAGTGCCTGAAGAGGGCCTGACACTTCACAGAGTGAGGACCAATCAGAGCCTGTAGAATCAATTCCCTGGTCTCACAGCCGTGCAGATAAGCCCTGGTCATCTCAGCAGCCACTGCATAATGTTGTTGGTGGAAGACACGCCCTCCTCCCCTCTGGTCACGTCCCAGGTGGAAGACACGCCCTTCTCCCCTCTGGTAAGAGAACAGCTTCCAGCTGCCTCTTTGACACCCACTCCAGCCCTCAGCCCCAGTTTTCTCCTCCTCACTAGGCTGTGGCTTCAGTAGTTCCTTTGGTTGTAACTATGGGACGGGATCCACGCATAGGGAACTAGTTGTTTCATAGCTCCCAGCCAAGAAAAAAGTGTGAGAAGTTGATGGGCAGCAAACCTGCTGTTTAACATCAGGGTGACCACACTGAGTCCAGTATGCCAGTTGGCACCAGATGATATGGACTTGGAATGAGGCCAACAGGGTTCATCAGGATGTAAGAGGAGAGAGGAATCCACAGGACCACCAGAGAGGAGAGGGAACCAGATCTGCAGGTCAGAGATAGAGGAAGTGGAACCAGAGAACTGGGAGGGACCAAGGTTGTAAGGGTGGCTAAGTCCCACCATAACATCCAAGGGAACCTGGGAAATGATGGCTCATTTCCACCCAACCCCAGGATTTCCAGAGCACACAGCCACAGGCCTGGACCTGGGACAAAGATGAATGAAGAACATGGACTCATGTGGATGTGGTTTGGCTCAGGTGTCTCTGCAGTTGGCAAGGAGTCAGTACTCAGTCCCTGAGTGTGGGTGAAGTTTGAAGTCTTGGCTGAGCTGAGGAGTAATGGACCAGGTCTACCTCAGCATTCAGGTTCAATGGGGACACCAGTGGCTTCAAACTTCCTGGTCTCATGATGTCTTTAGACACCTTACAAATGATGGAGGATTCCAAAGAGTTTTTGTTTATTTGAGTTAATATTTGTTGGTATTTAAGGCATTAGAGAATGAAACTAAGAAATGTTGTAATTTATTACCTTTACAACAGTTATTTATATTATATACATTTACAACGTTTATTAATTTATATTAAAGTAACATGAATAAGCCAACTCTAGGTTAATATAAGTAGAATGTTTGTGAAAAAATAAGTAAGGTATCCAAAGCAAAATAAATTTTATTGAGAAGTGTGGCATTGATTAACTTTTTTCAAATCTAATGTGTGGCTTAAAAGAATATGACTGGATTCTCATATCTGCCTTTATACTCACTCTGTTGAGATATCATAGACTATATAGGCTCAAAAAAACTTTATCCTAGTGACAGAATGAGATTAAAAACCACAAACTGTGTTTTATTATTAATATGAAAATAAGATTATTAACCTTGCAGGCCCCTTAAAACAGTTTTGGCCAACTAAGTGAGACCTTGTCTCTACCAAAAACAAACAAACAAAAAATTAGGTGTGGTAGCGCACACCTGTAGTCCTTGCTTCAGGAGACTAAAATGGAGGATTGCTTGAGCCAAGAATTGGAGTTTGCAGTGAGCTGTGAGCTTGCCATTGCACTCCAGCCTCAGCAACAGAGGGAGACTCTGTCTCAAAAAAAACAAAAAACGCGTCAGGCACGGTGGCTCATGCCTGTAATCCCAGCACTTTGGGAAGCCGAGGAGGGTGGATCACCTGAGGTCAGGAGTTCAAGACCAGCCTGGTCAACATGGCAAAACCCCGTCTCACTAACAATACAAAAATTAGCCAGGCACGGTGGTGGTCGCCTATAATCCCAGCTACTCAGGAGGCTGAGACGGAATCCTCGAACCCCAGTGGGGCGGAGGTTGCAGTGAGCCAAGATTGCGCTACTTCACTCCAGCCTGGGTGAAAGAGTGAAACTCACGTCTCAAACAAAGGTCGGGGGACAAAAACGTATGTCAGAGACCCTCCACCCCACCCCAGGAATCCTCAAACCATATTTGGGAGTTGGGATAGAGGATTTGGGAAATAAATCAATGTGATGGTTAATTTTAGGTGTCGACTGGGTTAAGGAATACTAGACAACTGATGGAGCATTATTTCTGGATGTATCTCTGAGGGTGTTTTCAGGGGAGACTGGTATGCGAGTCAGTGGACTGAGTGGAAAAGATCTGCCATCAATATCTTTGGGCACCTTCCAATCAGCTGTGGGCCCAACAGAGCAAAAGGCAGAGGATAGGTGATCTCTCTCTCTCTCTCTCTCTCTGGAACACTCTTCTCTTGCTCTTCAATATCACAACTCCAGAGTCTCCAGCCTCTGGTCTTTGAGACTTACACCAGTGGCCCTGAGGTGGCAGAGTGAGAATCTGTCAAAAAAGAAAAGAGGGAAGGAAGGAAGGAAGGAGGGAGGGAGGGAAGGAGGGAGGAAGGAAGAAAAAGTAACTGGAAAGATGGAGTTGTGAATTTCTGAGATGGGGAAATGGAGAGACAAGGAGCAAGATGGGGGTGGTGCAGAACCAAAGGTTTAGTTGTGGATACATTAAGGTTGAGGAGGCTATTAGAGATGCACATGGAGATGCAGAGTAGTCCATTGAATAACCAGGAGTCCAGGTGAGACCTCAAGGCTGGAGATAGAAATTCCATACTCAACTTTCCTATGTGTTTGAAGAGTTTCATGATAAACTGTAGTGGGTAGAGGGAAGAATTGCATTTTGTTATTAATAACAGAGTCCTGAATACCATTGGCTTTGACAAAATGAGGACCGCTTTTCATGTCAATAAATATGGATGGTGGCCATCAAGGGCTGATCTGAGAACTTGAAATGTCATACATGCCCCAGCTTAGTTCTGTCTTTATTTTCTTCTGTCTTAGCATGTGGCTTGCATCTTCAGTGTTGCCTCATGGTCACAAAAGGGCTGCCCAACTCCAAAGTCCATATTCTACATAAGAGGAAGTAGAACATAGGGGGAGTGTAAGGGTCTACCAGCTGTTTTAGCCTCCCCTTAAATAATCTCTCTGATAAAACTTCCACCCTCAAGCAATTGGCTCAAACCTAGTCCCTTGGCCTGCCCTGTCTACAAATGAGATGGATACCTTGCAATAAGAAAATGGGATTTTATTACTGAGAAAAGTGGATCTGGTATTGAGCAAGCAGCCAGCCAACTCTACCAAGAGCCTCAATTCAAACTGTTGTAGTATCATTTTCTGTCAGTCAAGGTTTCAGCTAAGTCCTAGGGGTTTTCATTACTTTAAGTGTCTGTTTTATGTCATAAACAAATGATAGGCCTTTATATTTTATTTGTGACCCAACTAAAGTTGCAAGTGCTAGTGATGCAGGATTTTTCTTCTTTATCACTTTGCAAGCAGGGGACCTCTGGCCGGCAACACCCCACCCAAGCCTTGCTTGGCTACACTGGCATGCCCCAGCTCACGTGAGTTATAGCGTGTACCCACGTTCGGCAGTTCCTGAGCTCTTGTGCCATGCCCAAGAAGAATGAGGATACACTAGACATTGAAGGGTGAGGAGGGATGAGAAGAATTTTATCAAGCGACTGAACAGCACTCAGCAGAGAGGGGATGCTGGCACCCCTACCCGAAGGCGGGAAAGTTCCCCCTGTGTGGCTGGGTCCAGGCCTGTTTTACGGACTCATAATGGGAAGTGTGTGCTGATTGGTTTGTGAGTATGCAAAAAAGGTTAAAGTGAAGACACCACTCAAAGGTGGCCACAACGCTGTAAAAAACCAATTAGGAAAGGGTGAGTATATGGAAAGTAGTTGAAGAGTGGGGACCAATAAGAGGAAAATGCAGCAAACATGAAGACAAGTTCTCAACAAGTTCTCAATCAGGGCTGAGGATTTACCTTGTAGTTTGACTTTCAGGCTTTAAACTGTCTTCAGCTTGGAGGTGGGGTTTCACCAGGGACCCATTGCTACCTGCCTTTGCATCTGACTGCCTCCTGTCTGCTATCACTAGGTCCCAAGGTTTGTAGCAAGGACCCCTTACAAAGACATCCCCCACAGTCTACCCAAAGGTTAACCTCAGAACGTATTTCATTGTCAGAGTGAGAAACAAATACACGTGAAAATACAGTATGGCACAAAAAAGGAGCAAGAGGTGAAGAAAGGCTCAGTCACACCCAAAATAATTTTGTGAAAAATATAAAATATGCAGTTACTGACAGCACTAACTCTGGATACCAGAAAATTCTATAATTCAGTAATGGATCTGAGACCTGAATTTTGGAGGTACTAAAATAGATTCAGTAGATCTAGTTTTCATTCTGTTCATACTTTCATTTGGCTCTGTGGTAAAAGATGGTAATATAAAAAAAAAAAAAAAGGATGATAATATCCTCTATGTAACAATTACATGCAAGGGGATGTCTGCAAACTGCCACAGTATCATTTTAATTAATACCTATCTTCTCTTCTTAAAATCATTTCATTTTTCCACCCAGTTCTCCTGATATTTCTGTTACGATATGAAAGACAGCTGAATGTGAAGAAACACTGATTTTACACATAACACACACATTAATGATTCAAATAGGTAAACACAGAGAGCTGCACACACTTTGAGAGGTAGGGCTGAAATTTTTCATCGATGTGTACAATTCAATATAGTTTCAGTTTTCATTCTAACCTTCCCCAGTGGCTTCTGCCCAGCAACTGATGAGAAATGGTAACTCTGAGCCAATCAAAACACAAATTCCTACAAAGAGGATTATCTTACTGTTTCTCAGATCGAGTGTACAGCACATGCTTTCTTTTCCTTTATTCTGGATCAGAGAATCTTAACTAAAGCAGAAATAATTGTGTTAAATTAAACTAAATTTGGTATGAGATAATACCTACATTTAGCCTGAGGGATGGCTCCTTACTTGAGCCCTTAAATAATGAACTGCAACCTAACTTAGTATGTAAACTAACTGAAAGCTTAAGGCACAGGAGTATACTTTTGTAACAAATAGCTGAGTCTCAGCCAATCCCAGTAGCCGAACTTCAGTCGGCTCCAGTCAACCCTGCAGCCAGTGATCAGACTATGTTCAAATAAGGCCAACTCTGAGCTGTAACCATTTAAGCTGTTTCTGTATGTCGCTTCCCTTGTGGAATGAGCTTACTGAACCTCTCTGATGGCTTCCTGATCATTCTGATGGTTTGCAAATTGTTCTTTGTTCAAATTAAACTGCTAAATTTAATTTGTCTAAAGTTTTCATTAACAACAGAGAACTATTGATTACCTTTTTTCTGTGGGCTATGGTTTTCAGATAGGAATATTAAGGAGTAAGTGGGGAAAATTGCTTAGAGCCAGGGCTGCAAGGCCTGGAAGAAGAGGGACTGAAAAGCTGAGAGGGGAACTGGCACAGAGAAAGGGGTGAGGATGGAGAGGGTAGAATGCATAGGGTGAGGAACTGAAGAGGCTGAGATTTGGCTGAAGAGGGACAACCTGAATGGAGAAACCTTCCAACTGCATGTTCTTAGGAACTAATTACGATCAGAAAGGAGCAAAGACTCTTTTTTTTTTTCGTCAGACAGAGTCTCGCTGTTGCCCAGGCTGGAGTGCAGTGGCACAATCTCGGCTCACTTCAATGTCCGCCTCCCCAGCCAAGCAATTATCTTGTCTCAACCTCCGGAGTAGCTGGGATTACAGGCATACGCCACCACACCTGGCTAATTTGCTGTATTTTTAATAGAGACGGGGTTTCACCATGTTGGCCAGGCTGGTCCTGAACTCCTGACCTCAAGTGATCCGCCCACCTTGGCCTCCCAAAGTGCTGTGATTACAGGTATGAGCCACTGCCCCCAGCCAGGAGAGGAAAAGACTCCTAAAATATCTCCTGGTTATGTTTAGGAATGTATTCCAAAAGGTTCTAAAAAGAGATGTGCCTTAAAGATTCATATGTATATTGTAAATTTTCAACTCCATATTTTCTAGGTGCCCCCAACATCCCCCCAAGAGCCTGTCAACGCCCTGCCCAGGTAACCAAGTATATCAGTGCAACAGGGCCAGTTCCTGCCTTCTTTCCCTTGCCTAACTGTGACTTCCCATCTTTTGATCTTTCTTCCTCTAGTTCACTTCCTTTGTCACTATCTCTGCCACCCACACCCACTTGCCTTAATCACCTTAACAGCAAGTGCTGAATTATTATAAACAAAAGGAGTCTGTCTTTTTAGTGCATGGGTCCCCAAGTATGTATATATGAATATGCAGCGAACTCCATGATACTAAGCTTCACTTAAGGATTTCTCCTACAAGGACTCAGTTGTCATATTTGGAGGCATTTCGTTTCGTTTTGTGAATGTTTAACCAAACTAATGGAGGAACTGTTGGTACAATGAGCTCGAAAAATGTACAGGATCAGCGGGGCGTAGTGGCTCACGCCTGTAATTTCAGCACTTCGAGAGGCTGAGGTGGCAGGATCACTTGAGCCCAAAAGTTCTAGACCAGCCCGAGAAACATAGTGAGACTTCATCTCTAAAAAATCCTACAGCAGTGCTGTTTCTTAGAAGCAAAATAGTCCTGTAACCACTAACACTCACCAATGGTCAGACTTTTTGTTTCTGTCTTTCTCTCCAGTTGAAGTGACTCTTGACCCAAACACAGCCCACCCTCACCTCTTTCTTTATTAGGATTCAAATCTGTTTGACTGGAAGATTCGTGTCAGAAACTGCCTGAAAAACCAGAGAGATGTGACTCCTGGCCCTGTGTGCTAGGCCTGGAAGCCTTCACCTCGGAGAGACATTACTAGGAGGTGGAGGTGGGAGATGGGAAATAATGGTTGGTTGGAGTCTGTAGGAAGAATGTGAAGAAAATTCTCCTTGCTTCTAAGAATGGAATCTGGGCTGTGGAGTCATCTGTAAATGGGTACTGGGCCCTCTCTCCTCTCAGGACCCTTCTATTCTTGTCAGAGCCCAGCCCCCAGGTTGAGATTTTCCTGGACTGTGAAGCAGGAGGCATCTCCTTCTACAACATGAATGACAGAACCCCTTATCTATGCTTTCCCCAAAGGCTCTTTCTCTGGCCCCCTTCGGCCTTTATTCTTCTTGTGGTCATGTGATAAAAAGCCCCTGACCACCCACCCAATTGTTGATGGACTTTCTAGGGGTCAGTCTTGTGAAGCCGGGGGCCTAAGGAGATTCTGTTATCCAGAATTCAGAAAATTCTGCCTCCAGAAATACAAATATGCTCTTTTCTAAACAAGTGACAACACAATGTAGCCACAGGCTCCCTTAAGCAGCCACCTCATGTCAACTGATAGTCTTTGCTCTCTAACCTCTCTCGTCCAAAGTCCATTTCCTCTCCTGAGGCTTCAGCTGTTACTGTCAGACCCTCAGTTACTTCTGATGAGCAGGGATTAGGCTTGAGAAAATGGAGATACATCTAGATTGGCATATTATGGGGGACTTCTTAATGTGCTTTTATTGCTGCTTTATCTCTGAAAACAGGTTTTGGCAATTTGGAAATAATTCTGAAGACATATAAAGGATTGAGACTGAGTGACTTAGGAGTGTGAGAGGAAATATCTTGGTGTTGAGAACAGGGTTGATGTGGAGGAGTATTCTCTGTGTTATGCACGTAAAAAGAAAAAAAGGAAAAAAAAATCATTAGTGGGAAAGGAAGCATCCCAAACTGAAGTCCAAGAAAGGTACACAGAGGAAACACAGAAACAGTTGTGTTAGCAGAGATGACATGAAACCCAGCTGACAGTGAAATTAGGAAGTCGCCTTGGAATTTCAAGAACTTGCATTCTTAAGTTTTTCGTTCTATGTCCAACAGAGCAGCAAAATCCAGGACTTCTTTTGAGTCTCCATATCAGGCTAACAGAAAGACAAGGGGTTGGGAGATGCAGGGATGAGGAGGAGCTCAGGAGTAACAGTGTTGAAGAGATTCTGAGCAAAACTCCACGGTGATCTGTGTAATTTATATCCAACCCTGATCCCTCCCATCTTCTGCCTGTCCAACCCTTGCTCAGATCTCAATCTAACTTCACTTCATTGTGTCCAAGAAGTTCTCTGGTCTTCTCTTCGCCTGTGGATTTAGCAACGCTCCATTTTAGAGGCATTTTCAGGAATTTTTTTGCAATGCATCATCACTATGAGAGCTCAGCTTCCTGCTCCCTAGGCCAATTTAGCCTAACATCCCTGTGCTACACCACTCCAACAGACATGCTATCAAATTAGTCACCATCTTTCAAACAACCCATCCCCAACCCACCCTTCACATATACAAAACCTCTTCTACCTACAGATTGTGTTTCTGTAATAGGAATTAGCTCATGTGCTTTTTGTTAATCCTGGAATTATGACAGCATTATAATGTCAGTGTTCCTTTTACTCACACTCAATTTTCTCCCAAATTAATGTTTTATGCCATTGAGGAAGAGTTATTTGAGTGCAAAATACACCAATAGCTGAGCTCAGCAAACCTCAGAGAAATGCGCGAGCATATCTAATGCCTTTTAGCCCCATGGTTTTCCTTTTGGCTTAAAAGAAACACAAGACCATAGCTTTGTAGATCACATTTTGTACAAAGATGACAACTTCTCCACCTTTAGCCTGTTGTCACAATGTTACTCAGCCCTTACTCCTGTTGATGTCCTAGAGCCAGCCAGCTTGCACCAGTTTAAGAGAGCTGATTGTTAAATTTTCAGGAAAGTAGTGAGCAAAAATCACTCATAGTAGGAGTATTTACACCACAGAAATTGCCAAACAATACAAAACAAGGCATTTCTTCCTGCATACATTTATTAGCCCACCACTGCTTTGTTCCCAAATTCGGCAAACTCATCTTTCTGGTATACTTTTTTTTTTTGAGATGGAGTTTTGCTCTTGTTGCCCAGGCTAGAGTGCAATGGCGTGATCTCGACTCACCACAATCTCCGCCTCCTGGGTTCAAGCGGTTCTTCTGCCTCAGCCTCCTGAGTAACTAGGATTGCAGGTGTGCGCCACCATGCCTAGCTAATTTTGTATTTTTAGTAGAAATGGGGTTTCCACATGTTGGTCAGGCTGGTCTCGAACTCCCAACCTCAGGTGATCTGCCCGCCTCAGTCTCCCAAAGTGCTGGGATTACAGGTGTGAGCCACCACACCCGGCCAGTATACTTTCTATTAAGCTACATTCACCTACCTTCAGGTGAAGCCCTACATTTACTATTAAACACCTTTAGTTATTAGGAGTTTGGATAACTGTGCTAAAATTATTACTATTACTGATGTTTTTATTAGTGTTCTTTTTTTCTCTTTTTAAGGGTTTTTATGGACAATTTGGTAGGCATTAGGGAATGGGTGCTGCCTGATTGGTTGGCTTTATTAGTGTTTTGAAAACAAACCTGCATGGGTTTTTAGTTGTCTAAGCCCAATTCTATTTTTTTATAAGCCCTGGTGTTTTTGGTGCATGATTTTGAAGAATTCAAAGTGTTTGGTGGTTTTTTTTTCCCAGGAAAATAAAATAATATATTGGGTTATTGTGGAAACACATACTTTATTTTCTCTAAAATCCCATAAATGCTTGGATAAATGCTTGGTTCCAGAATTTTAAGCATCTTTTTTTTTTTTTTAGAGGGGAAGTTGAGGCCAAGAAAAGTGAAAGTATTTAGTTAAAAACACATAGTAAGAGACTGAGCTGCAAGTAAACCAGTCTCCCAGCTATTCATGCAGTAAAATGACTGAACTACAAATGGGAATAAGAACAGATTAAACTAATCTGGAGCCAGAGTTGTCAGAAAGTTCTCTAGGGAAATCCACGAGAATGTCCCCTTTGGTTCAAGGAATTCTTATGCAGAGGAAGAGAAATAATGTGATTTCTCTCACATGAACTTAGGGGCCAACTTTGGATAGAACTGCAAGCTGTACCTGAGAAACAGAGAAATATTCCTTCCTCCTTCATTTTATGCTATTTCCAGCACCAAAACCTTTTCTTCTCTCTGCCTGCCCCCTTCCACACAAACTGTGCAGTCCATTCTCATTTCCCCACTGAGGTGGATGCTGTGGAAGCACTGCCCTGATCACTCCATGTTGGACTGAGACACACAGTCAACCAGCTGCAGAGAGTGTTGGTGGCTCAGGGCCCTCAACTGACTCCATATCATGGAATTGTTAAAGAGCCAAAGAGAGCCCTGTTGCCCAATGTTATTCCACCTCTCAGTGAGTGGACCACATCCAGTGACTGGACAAGGTAGGTGTAAAGGGCCTGGACCCCTTGCACAAGGTGCACAACTCTGAAGGGTCACCCCAGTTCCAGAGTTCATTGTGAGACTGCATTATATTTCAACTTCTGTCTATCCTCTTTCCTTAACTTCCCCAAAGTATTGATGCTGAGGAGCTCCCCAATGAACGTCCTATAGTCTATTTCTCTGGAACCACCTAAGATAGGGATTCTCAAAAGTGTGGTCTCACCCTAAGATCCTTTCAGGGGATCCATGAGGTGAAGACTCTTTTTTTTTTTTGAGACAGAGTCTCACTCTGTTGCCCAGGCTGGAATGCAGTGGCGTGATCTCAGCTCACTGCAACCTCTGCCTCCTGGGTTCAAGCTATTCTCCTGTCTCAGCTTCCCAAGTAGCTGGAATTACAGGTGTACATCACCACTCTAGCTAATTTTTGTATTTTTAGTAGAGGTGGAGTTTCACCACATTGGTCAGGCTGGTCTCAAACTCCTGACCTCAGGTGATCCACCCACCTCTCCCTCCCAAAGTGGTGAGATTACAGGTGTGAGCCACCGCACCTGGCCAAGACAATTTTTATAATGATACTTAAATGTTATTTGTGGCTGAGTATGGTGGCTCATGCCTGTAATCCCAACACTTTGGGAGACCGAGGTGGGCAGATCACTTGATACCAGAAGTTCGAGACCAGCGTGGGCACATGGTGAAACCCCCATCTCTACAAAAAATACATAAAATTAGCTGGGTGTGGTGGTAAGTGCCTGTAGTCCCAACTAGTCAGGAGGCTGATGTGGGAGGATCTCCTGAGCCTCGGAAGTCAAGGATGCAGTGAGCCATGATCACGCCTCTAGACTCCAGCTTAGGTGACAGAGTGAGAACTCTTTTTCAAAAAAAAAAAGAAGCAGGAAGATCACTTGAGCCCAGGAATTCAAGATCAGCCTGGGCAACATAGTGAGACCCCCCATCTCTATTTTTAAAAATAAATAAATTTTTTTAAGTTATTTTCCTCTTTTACTCACATACTCCCACATGTATGCATTGGAGTTTTCCAGATGTTAAAGACATGATGACATCATCCCTCTGACACCTATTGGAATGTATGTCACAATGTGTATTATTGTGTTTAAAATGCTGTGTTTTAAGGGCCGGGCATGGTGGCTCATGCCTGTAATCCCAGCACTTAGGGAGACCGAAGCACGTCGATCACTTGAGCCCAGGAGTCTGAGACCTGGCCAACATGGTGTAACCTTGTCTCTATGAAAAATACAAAAATTAGCCAGACATGGTGGTGCGTGCCTGTAATCCTAACTACTAGGAAATGGAGACAGGAGAATCACTTGAATTTGGGAGACAGAGGTTGCAGTGAGCCGAGATTGTATCACTACACTCCAGCCTGGGCAACAGAGCGAAACTCTGTCTCATTTAAAAAAAAAACAAGGTTGTTTTATTTATTTATTTGAGACAGGGTCTCAATCAGTTGCCCAGGCTGGAGAGTAGTGGCGCCATCTAGGCTCACTGCAACCTTCACCTCCCAGGCTCAAGCGATCTTCCTGCCTCAGCCTCCCACATAGCTGCAATTACAGGTGCATGCCACCACACATAGCTAATTTTTGCATTTTTTGTATGTTGCCCAGGCTTGTCTCGAACTCCTGAGCTCAAGTGATCCACCCACCTTGGCCTCCCAAAGTGCTGGAATTATAGATGTGCACCACCACACCCCGCCCAGTTTTAATTTTCAGATGCTAAGTGTTGATAGATATAACTCACATAAATAAAAACTCTCTGGGGTTCTCAATTACTTTCAAGAGTATAAGAAGGTCATGAGACCAAAGCATCTGAGAATTGTTGCTCTAAGATAACCAAATCTACCCTGGGAGGAAAAGGCTTAGGTTTTAAAGCACAAGTTATTTTCAAATTATACTTTTAGACATTAAACACACGTGTGCACACACACACACACGTAGAGAAGTCAGTGAGAATGGCAGAGTGAGGACTTCTGAAAATCCCTCCCTCCATAAAAACAATAAACACTGGCAAAAATTGCCAAAAAAAGCCAGGTGCGCTGGCTCACGCCTGTAATCTCAGCCGTCTGGGAGGCCAGGGCGGGCGGATCACCTGAGGTTGGGAGTTCAAGACCAGCCTGACCAACATGGAGAAACCCCATCTCTACTAAAAATACAAAATTAACCAGGTATGGTGGTGCATGCCTGTAATCTCAGCTACTCGGGAGGCTGAGGCAGGAGAAGCGCTTGAACCCAGGATGGGGAGGTTTTGGTGAGCCAAGATCATACCATTGCACTCTAGCCTGGGCAACAAGAGCGAAACTCCATCTCGAAAAAAAAAAAAATTGCCAGAATCAACTTTCTCAGAACTCTGTAAATTAACCTAAGGCTTGCAGCAATCAGAGTGAATTTTATTCAAGAACAATGGCTGAACCTCAGTAAGAACAGTAAGTTTTATAGACATTTTAACATGTCCTATTACACCACCACCACCCCACCACAGCTCTGCAGAGAAACCACAGCTCTGGTGGTTTCTCTGTAGCCTAGAAACCACCCCACAATTACAATGAAAAACAGCTCCTGACAGTCACTGGAAGGAATAGAAAGGGGTTAGGGCTCCTTCAAAACCCCATTCCTAGAGAATTGTTGTTACTAGACCTGCCTGGTCATTCTTTGTGTAGGGGAGGGAAAAATCTGCTTCTCTCTACCCCTATAGGTTATTTGGCTAGGCTATAAATTAAACTGATCTAAAACAGATTAACAGGAGAAAAACCATTTTAATTACATGTGTATGTACAGGAGTCCCTCAAATCTCAAAATATGAGACTCAAAGAAGGGCCAGATGATTGAAGCTAATGTAGCATCCTGAGCTACAGAAAGGAGGGGTCAGGGCTTCTGGGAAATGATGGAGACAAATTATGGGATGGTGAGAGGAGAAAATGTATGGTGAGTAAAGGTTACCTTGTTATAGATAAAAGTCCCTCAAGTGATAAAACTTGTCTCAGGGCAGTTCTCTTCCTGGTATAAATACCTCTACTAGTAAAAATTTCTTTTATAGATGTAAATTTTTCTCTACAAAAGGGGTGTTTTATACTTCATTTTAGATGATTGAAGGGAAGGCAAAGAGCTTTTTCTATGTTGGCTGGTCTTCAATTTCTTTTAGCTCAAAAAGATCAATATGCCAGGGTGGCATATTTTGAGATGGCATATTCTGGTCTCCTGCACTCATATTTTTTGGATGGTGTGTCCTGAAACTCAGCACCCAGAAGACGTCACTTGCAAACTTTGTCCTTATTTGATCTGACTCAAAGCTCACCAAGTGTGAACAGGGTTTTCTCTGGGAGCATTTGTTGACAATAATCAGTGACAATTGTTTAACATCACAGCTGTCTGAGATGGTGGATAATCATTGGAGCAAACAATCGCTAAAAAGCTTAATAAGAAAGGCTGAGGAGTGAAATATATACAGAGGGCTTTGAAAATCTCTGACATATTTCTGGGATTCTAGAAGTCCACACATATATATAGGGTTGTGCCCATGCCCAGGGCCGTGTGCGTGCTCTGGAAAGACCTGAGAAGGCCCTAGTTCTCACTCTAGCTGATCTTGAGGCTCTGTGTGCCCTCATCCTTCACAGGATGGGGACCCACTGCCACCACTACCAAATTCCTGGTCTCAGAGTAATGTAGAGAGGGCCTGGCCATCTTGACTACCATAGCACAGCACACTCTACCCCATGCCTGGTGGTAAATGAGCTCTTCCCTCTGGTCACATAAAAGGACCTCTTCCAGTTGCTCCCATTGACACCCATTTTAGACCCGAAACCCACCTCTCTTCCTAATTAAACTGTTGCCTTAGTAGCTCATTAGCTTATAACCATAGGGCGGAATCCTATGGGTGGTCTCAGGGAAACTCTTGCTGCCACAGGGTTGTCAACCAAGGAGAAAAGTGTGAGAAAATGACATGTTGTAAACTACTTGCTTTAACATCAGGGTGGCACATTCAACCTAGTGCTTGATGGACACTGTATGCTTGGACTTAGAGTGGAGAAAATAGGACATATGAAGATAAATATATATATAGAGAGAGAGAGGGAGAGAGAGAGAGACAGAGAGAGAACTATGGGGCCTCCTAAGGAGAAGAGGAAACCACAAAGGAAGGTCAGAGACAGAAGTGGACAGAGAGCTGGGAAGGGAAAAACAGCTGTGAGCCTGATTAAATCCCATCGTGACAGCTATGAGGCCCAGGAGCTGACAGCCCATTTCCACCCAACTTCAAAGATTTCCAGTCCACACTGGAAATCTCCAGGCCTAGAACTGGGATGAAGAAATATTGTATTCTAAGTTTCTATGAGAACAAACTCATGATAAGCTGACTTGGTTCAGGTGCTCCTAGAATAACTAAGGCTGTAGGCATGGTTACCCATGACCTGAGTTTGAGCTTACTGGCAAGCAAGTAAGTAGTGAACCCGGGCTATCATTAGGTGAATCCTCAGTAGCCGGAGGGGACTGAAAGTGAGCCAGGCATCTAAAATGATGACTTCAAGGGTAGTGTTTGGATTCAAGCCAATTCAATAATTCATTTTTGTAATAATGACCAGGAAAAAGTTTTTAAAAAGTACATTTATCAATGTTGGTCAAAACCATCATTAATTCAGATAGTCAGATCTGGAAATATTTAATAGGAAAGTATAAAAATAGATCCTTTATGGCTGCAGCTCTAGAGGAGTTGTATGCTTTTTACATTTATTTGTGGTATTGCTGATACTCTTTGAACAGTTTTGTTTAAAGAAAAGGTACAACACTAAGTTTCAGGAAGAGAGAAATTCAGCCGTGGTCTCACTGGTTGTATTTTTTTAAAGTCATTGTATTAGACCATTTTCACATTGCTATAAAGAACTATTTGAGACTGAGTAATTTATAAATAAAAGAGATTTAATTGACTCATAGTTCTGCATGGCTGTGAGGCCTCAGGAAACTTACAATTGTGGCAAAAGGTGAAGGAAAAGCAAGCACCTTCTTCACAAGGCAGCAGGAGAGAAAGAGGGAGGGGTGAAAAGGAAAGTGTCACACTTTTAAACCATCAGATCTCTTAAGAACTCATGCACTATCATGAGAACAGCATGGTGGAAACTGCCCCCATGATTCAATCACCTCCCATCAGGTCCCTTCTTCAACACATGAGGATTAAAATTAAAGATGAGATTTGGGTGGGGACACAGAGCCAAACAATATCAGTCATATCTTCATGGTGCCTCTGTTTCTTCATCTGTACAAAGAGTGAGTTAAACCTGAGGACTTTTTAAAATGAATTTGTGTGTGCGTATGTGTTTAAGTTATAAAATGTTTCTATCACTCTGTTAGAGTTCTCATGAGAACCCTGTGAGACAGAGTTTTTTATTTTATTTTATTATTTTTTTTTCTTTGAGACAGAGTCTCGGTCTTGCCCAGGCTTGAGTGCCGTGGTACAATCACGGTTCATTGTGGCCTCAACTTCCTGGGCTCAAGCAATCCTCCCACCTCAGCCTCCTGAGTAGTTGGGACTGAAAGTGCATGCCACCACACCTAGCTAATTTTTTATTTTTTTGTAGAAACAGGGTCTCACTATGTTGCCCAGGCTGAAATAGAGATTATTAAGTCCATATTGTGGATGTTAAAACTGAGGTCTAGAAAATTTAAGTCTTTTTCCTTTCTGAATATTTCCAGATTAAATAAAAAAAAAAAAACCTGTTTTGTTTTTTCTTTTCTAAATCCTACTCATATAGATCAATTAGTTATTGTTGCTTAGTAAACTATTCAAAAACTCAATGGCTTTAAAAAGCAAGCATATTTATTGCTTACATTTCTACAAGATGACTTGGGTTAGCTAATCTAAGTGGAGTTCAGATAGGGTGCTCTACTTCTCACCTGCCAGTTTATGTGTCAACTGGAATGTCTCTGCTTTATGAATCTACCAACCTCCTGGGACCAGTAAGCAAGCCAAGGTATCTACTTCTCATGCTGCTGGCAGAGACAGAAGAGGATGAGAAGTGACGGTCATGAGGCTTTTAAGTCTTATGATTAGAACTGGTACACTATCATTCTCACCCACATGTTA